TCAGCCGGGCCAAGCTCAAAGCCTCCAGCCGCACGTCTGCCCTGCTCTCGGGCTTCGCCATGGTGAGGGGAGGGGTGGGGCGCACAGGGTGGGGGTGAGGAAGGGGGCCATAGGCAAAATAAACGGGTACCCCAGGGAGGCTGGGCAAAGGAAAGGGAATGACTGGGTTTTAAGGGGGGAACGAACAAGTTCCCAAGGGGTGACAAATCCCTTTTTAATTGGGGGGTGGGGGGGTGAACAGACCCCTGGCACACACTGGGCCACAGGGAGGATAAACAAGTGCTAAAAATGCCAGGGAGGGTACAGATCACGTCGTGGGGATAGATAACCCACCAAGGGGGCTGCATGTGCACGGGTGGGACCAAGGTCCAAAAGCCTGGTCCAGGCAGAGTGGTTACTAGACACCACTCCCACCCCGGCCACGAGAGGTTCAAAGGCAAATCGCAGCTGGGGAGGGACTGTATCAGCAGCTGGGGTGGGGTTAGAGAAAATAAACATGGGGTGGTCACCAACTGAAAGTGCGGCCCATCCCAAGGAAGGCATCTCCCCAGCAGGTACAAAGGGTGCTGAGTGTAGCCCAGGAAGCTTTGAGAGGAGAGGATGCCTGTGAGGAAGTCTGTGGGGGAAGAAGCTGATTAGGAAACTGATTGCATGATTCCCGAGCTGATAAACTGGTGGTGTGGGAAGATGATGTCAGCTAACGGTCCCAGGGGAGGCCTCAGGAAGTGGGACTGAGTAAGTTTCACTCCCCTGACTTTTCCCCATGGCACTTATCACCTATTTCATCGCCGGAGACCCTGGCAGGTCTCCCCCACTTTGCAGGTCAGTGGGAAATCGGGAGATGGTGGAGGGTGTGCCCTCTGTAATCTGCCAAGTGCCTGTCCTAGGATGAGCTGACTCTTGTCCTCAAACCCTAGATCTAAGCATGTTAGAGCAAGATACACATCAACGATGGCACAGACTACCTGTTAATTGGCTGGCAGGAGAGAGGTGTGTGTGTGTGGGGGGGGGCATCCTTATAGGAACCTGTTTTGGGGGGCAAATTGAGATGGGGATAGAAGGGTCAGAGCACTAGGTGATTTGGGTTAGTCCCTACCCTTCTCAGTGCCACAGCCTCTGTATTTAAAATGATCAGAGGGAAAGTCTCTATCCCCAAGGCTCATTCTAGGTCTATGATTTATTTATTTTTTTTATGTGGGGGCCCAGGATCCACAGGCCAGTCTACCCTTCCTAACATGGAGTCCTCTAGGGACAGGGAGTTGGCTCTCCTTCCCCCGTACAGGCTGGAGAGGAAGAGAGGCAGTCTCATGGACCCATCTAAGGGAGGTCCCCACCCCCATCCACCCCATGGTTCAGTCTGGCCTGCTGCGGGACTTGCATGTTGCTGGGGTGACCGCTTAAAGGCCAGGATCTTCTCTGCAGGATCCAGAGGCCAGATGAGTAGGTTCTGGGGGCAGGACTGGCTCCGGTTGTGCCTGGAGAAAACAAGCCTGGGTCAGGCTATGGGAGAAAGCAGGAGTAGGCCTGGCCCAGATGCCCGTCTGTGGGAGACACCTGCTAATACTCTTCATGGCCCAGTTTCCCAAAAACACTCATCCTTGTCTTTCTATCACCTCTCTCCAGGCTCTTCACCTTCCTCCTTCCCTCCGCCCCAGAGCAATCTAATGGGTCCTGCAAGAATTATTGGGAAAAGATCCAGATTCTGGAATTCAGGTGGCCTGGGTGAAAATAACATACAAATAGTATTAAACTGTCATTAAGTACCAGGCACTGTGCTTAGGGCTTTTATGTGTGTTGTCTACTATCCTACGAAATAGGTACCACTATTAATGGCGATTTTGCAGATGAGAAAACAGGACCAGAGGTGTTATATCACCTGCCCAGAGTCCCACAGCAAGCAAGTGGCAGGATTTGAACTTTGGCAGTCTAGTTCTAGAGGCCAAATGTATACAAACCTTGAACAGGATCCAGGCAGGTAATATCGAAGCCAAGTTGGTTTTGTGGGGACTGTGGCTATAAAGAGACCCTGCCCTGTTCAAAGGCAGCAGCCATGACTCAACTCTAGCTGATAGTTGTCATGGAAGAATGCGGACCTGGTGTAACCAGATCCTCCAAATTTTTAAGAGGATCTGAAAATTGGGATATTTCTATGAACTATCTTGGGTTTTATTTATTTTTTTATCCTCACCCGAGGATTTTTTTCCCATTGGTTTTTAGAGAGAGTGGAAGGGAGGGATGAGGGAGAGGGAGGGAGAGAAAGAAATACTGACATGAGAGAGACACATTGATTGATTGCCTCCCTCCTGGATGAGGTCCCTTTCTGAACCCAGGGGATGGAACCTGCAACTGAGGTATGTGCCCTTGACCCTTGACCAAGAATTGGGAATTGAACCTGTGACCTTTGGGTCTCTCTAACCACTGAGCACCCTGCCAGGGCAAATCTCTTGAGTTTTAAAATTGGCAACTTAATTCTTGGGTTCATGGTGTGCCAATTTGCAAGCTGGTCTTGGACTTTATTGTTAACTCTAATAATAACAGCAAACACTTAGTGCTTACTGTGTGCCTTGCACTATTCTTATCATTTGATGACCATTAATTCAATTTTCACAATGTTATAAAGCAGATAGGTGCTATTATCAATCCCCATTTTCCAGATGAGGCAATTGAGGCACAGAGAGACTAAGTCACTTGCTCAAGACTACACAGCTTGTAGATCTGAGAATGACCCCGGCAGCCCAGCTCCAGAATCTGCTCTTTAACCCCTATGTTTATTTTTTTTAATCTTTTTTAAAATATGTTTTATTGATTTTTTACAGAGAGGAAGAGAGAGGGATAGAGAGTTAGAAACATCAATCAGCTGCCTCCTGAACATCTCCCACTGAGGATGTGCCCGCAACCCTGGTACATGCCCTTGACCGGAACCGAACCTGGGACCCTTCAGTCTGCAGGCCGATGCTCTATCCACTGAGCCAAACCGGTTCCGGCTAGCCCCTATGTTTATAACAAGACAAGATTGTCAGAAAGATGTCATCCAGCTGTTTTAATAGCAGGTGGAGGAACTAAGGCCCAGACAGGTCAGAGCCTCCCCAAGGCTGCCCATTCGTGCACTTGACAAAGACTGAGCGTCTTTTTTTTTTTTTCAATCTTCATCCAAGGATATGTTTTTATTGCTTTTTAGAGAGAAGAAGTCTTTGGCCATACCCCCTGGAATGGGTCCGATCTCATCTAATCTCGGAAACTCAGCAAGGTTGGGCCTGGTTAGTACTTGGATGGGAGGAAGATGGGAGAGAGAGAGAGGCGGGGGGGAGAGAGATAGATGTGAGAAACTGCTATTGCTATTGGTTGCCTCCCGTATGCACCCCAACCAGGCATCAAACCCAAACCTAAGTATGTGCCCTGACCAGGGATCAAACCTGCAACCTTTTGATGTATGGGACGACACTCTAATCAACTGAGCTCCCTGGCCAGGGCAAGACTGAGAGTCCTTCTGCCAGGCACTGTTCTAGGTCCTAAGGATACAGCCTTGCTACTGCTCAGGAAGTTATAGGCACTCAGTCCATCCCCTCCTGTCCCCACAGGTGGCCATGGTGGAAGTACAACTGGAGAACAACTACGAATACCCACCAGGCCTGCTGGTGGCCTTCAGTGCCTGCACCACCGTGCTGGTGGCTGTGCACCTCTTTGCACTCATGGTCTCCACGTGTCTGCTGCCCCACATTGAAGCTGTCAGCAACATCCACAACCTCAACTCTGTCCACCAGTCTCCACACCAGCGACTCCACCGCTACGTGGAGCTGGCCTGGGGCTTCTCCACTGCCTTAGGCACCTTCCTCTTCCTCGCTGAAGTTGTCCTTGTTGGCTGGGTCAAGTTTGTGCCCATTGGGGCCCCCATGGGCAAGCCAGCACCTGTGGTCCCTGCCTCCCAGGTGCCTGGGACTCTGCCACCAATGGCCACTTCCCTGCGTCCAGCTTCTAATCCACCCTCTGCTTCAGTAGCCCCTCCACAGGCTGCGCCATCTGAGGCCTGCCCACCCCAGCAAGCATGTGGTGGTGGGGGGGCCCATGGACCAGGATGGCAAGCAGCCATGGCCTCCACAGCAATCATGGTACCTGTGGGGCTGGTGTTTGTGGCCTTTGCCCTGCATTTTTACCGCTCCTTGGTGGCACACAAAACAGACCGCCACAAGCAGGAGTTAGAGGAGCTGAGTCGCCTGCAGGGGGAGCTACAGGCTGTGTGACGGGTGTGTCAGCCACCAGTTACAAGCACTGCCTTCTTCAGGGGTCAGCCGAGGCCCCTGGTCTAGACCACTGCTCCCTGACTGCCTGGAGGCTTCTTGTGGCCACTCTTAGGTAGAGACCAGATTCCTGACCTCAGGGTCCTTTGGGCTGGGCCTTGGGGCGGCTCCCCCATTCCCCGGGATTCTCCTTGTTTGTTCTACACCTGGGAGCCAGGGAGAAAGTGGAAGGTCTTCGGTCTAAGGTTCATACACTAAGTGGGAGAAAGGCAGGGAGACCCTGGTCAGACCTGTGGTGCTGACCCCTGGCCACTCGCCCTATACAGGATGTGGAGGTCAGATTACATGCCCATCCGACTGCCCTAGACGGCAGCCAACCCTTCCCTTATTTTTATTTGTTAATTTTTTAAAATTCTCACCTGAGGGTATTTTTTCATTGCTTTTTAGAGAGAATGAAAGGAAGGGAGGGAGGGCGAGAGAGAGACATCCATGTGAGACAGACACATTGACTGCCTCCCACACTTGCCCCAACTAGTCGGGGATGAACCTGCAAGCGGTACATGCTCCTTTTTTTTTTTCCCTCTTCCTTTTGATTTCAGAGAGGAAGGGAGAGGGAGAGAGAGATAGAAACACCAATGATAAGAGAGGATCATTGATCGGCTGCCTCCTTCACACCCATGATCTCCTGGTTCATAGGTTGATGCTCAACCGCTGAGCCACTCCGGCCACACCTATCAGTCTTGATGGGTTTCACACTCTTGCTTTAGTTGTTCTAGAGAGGGATTGGGTGTTCCGCCCAGGCATAGGTCCAGCCTGTTCTAGAAGGAGCCTCCCTATTTTTGGAGGTTCAAGTGCCTGTCCAACTCCCCAGACCCACAGTTAATGCTTCTATATCTGCTCTCCCTCTTTTGGGCCAGTCTTGGGGGTCTTTGGAAACTGAGGGCCTGTGTTCCCAGCTTGACTCCCTGGCAAGGGATGGGGTGAGGAGGTTTGAAGGGGGGTCCAGTCCCTAACCCTTGGAATACAGAGCTATTCTGACACTGAGTTTTTGATGCACCTTGTTTGTATAATAAATTGTGTTTCACAGATGTGTCTGTGGCTGTGAATGGAGGGAAGGGGAGGCTTTCTTGTTCCTAAGAGACCAGTAGAGACTGGGTGCTGGGCAAGGGTGTGGGAGAGTAGGTTCCAAGTGTGACCCCCTTCTGGCCAGTGGCTTCTGAATGTAGAGCCTGAGTTATTCCAAGGCCAAGGGCTTTTGCGCTCTTGTTCCTGAGCCCAGGGTCTCTCTTCCATTGAGAATCTAGTATGTTTCTTTTACTCAAGTTTTTTCTTTTGTGTGACTATTACATAGTAGGGGCTTTTCACAGGTTATCTCATTTAACCCTCATAACCACCTAAAGAGACAAGTCCTTCTTATTTCCATTTCAGAGGTAAGGGACCTGGGCCCACACCGCTCGTCAGTGAAAACCTGGGTTACCTCTGCCATCACACGGGGAATCTCTTTCTGTTTGATTTGAGAAAAGGAGCCAATACCTTTCAACTCGGACGAGAAAGCAGAATGATCTCATCACCCATGCTTCCATGTGAATTCATTTTTTCAGCTTCGTTTTCCTCGAAAATTTAAAAGGTCCCAGTCCTATCTCTTCTATTCTTATGGTGTGACATCTTGAACAAGTACCCCCCTTTCTCTTTTCCTATTGCTTAAAATGATAAATGTGCATGGACAAGGCTCCCAAGGCCTTTCCTATGCTTTTTTTTTAAATGCCTACATTAATCCTGCGTGACATCAATATCCATTTTAGAGCAAGGATCTGAAGCTCTGAGAGGTCAATGATTTGCCCAAAGTAATGCAGCGAGAGATGCAGACAGAGATGTCTGGGACCTAGCGCACCCTCAGCTCAGGCAGAGGGGCCTCCTGGGTATGCCATTACCTGGAGACCAGAATACCCTGCGTCCAAGACAGAAATAAAAGGTGCCCAGCCCCGGGCGACCGCAGGCCCCGGGTCCCACCGTAAGCCTGGAACGGTGCTGCCCTCGAGCGGCGAGACCGCGTAAGGCTAGCCTCCCCCCTTCCCACCCCGATCCCGCTGAAAACGGCGGGCACTGGGACCACGATGCGCCCCGCTCACCTAGTTCCTGTAAAACCGAGTTTACTTTTTACAGGACCCACTCGAGGGTCTGCAAGCCCCACCGCGTTTATCATCCAACTTTAAGACTAGTAGTGGCCGAGTGCAGGCAAAAGGCGGAGCCCTCTGCAGGTCTCAGTCTGCCCATCTGCCAAGTGGGCATCTTAAGCAGCCAGTGGCCCCAGGGGGATCGCGAAAGGAAAACGCTCCCTGCATTATGTGCGGCGCCAGGCCAGCAGCCTGAGTCACCGCTGTTGGTTGTCGTTTCCATCTCACGGGCACCCCTCCCCGGCCGCCCGGTTTCGGTGGGTCCTCCAGGAAGAGCCCCGCGACGCCGGGCCGCACGCTGGCCACGCCCTCTGCGCAGGCGCCGGGGCCCCGCCCACAGGCTCGCAGATTCGTGAGGCCGGCACCCCGGGATTACTCAGGCCCCGATGCTCAGCCGGAAATCCTCATGGACTCTGAGGAGCTCTGGGCCATAGCCACTTTCCTCGGATCGGAGTTGGGCAGTCCCCCGAATTGTACTGGAAGAAAATCCAGAAAAGTGGCTGACCTGCCAACAGGGCTTGCCTAAACAGGCATTATTTTCTTGACTTCACCCAAGCGGGTAAAGGGAGGCAAGAGCTGGGGCCAGAACCTGTGGCGAATCTGCAGCCTCTGGGACGTTTGGACGCGCAAGGAAGGGGCAGGCAAGAGGAGCAGAGAAGCCCGCGTCTCGTCCACCCATTCGCCCCGCCCGCCTGACGAATCTGCGCCCGTTCAACGCGCCACTCAAATCTCCCCAGCTCTGCCCGGCCGCCTCCCCTTCGCCCCGCCCCCTTTTCCTCGGGGACTAGCCGCTGCTTTCGTCGCCGCCGATTCGTCAACGGCCCCAGGCCAGAGCAGCTGGACAGCCGTGGTGAAGCCCACTCTCCGGGGGATGCGGCCAATCTCCAGGCCCCCTAGGCTTCAATTCTCAAGCCTCCTAGGGCGCCGGCCGAGGCGAAACCGCTATCCTCGGCCCCGTTGGTCTCCCAGTGGCGCCCGTGGCGAAAGTGCGAATGTCGACGCTGTGCCTGCTGGGCCTCGCGCAGGTGGCGGTG